TTTTAAACCATTAATTAAAAAACTCCTTCTTCTTCACCCATTACACCTCCTTTTCAGCCATATTCATCCCCTGTCCAACCCTTTTTTCCTTTTTTTCCACAATCTATTTTCATTTATTCAGATTATCTTGGGCACCTCTTTGACTCAACTAATTCACCGACGGAGGGAGAGAGCAGCGCTAGTGGTGCGATTGCTAGACACCATTGATACACAGTGGAGTGAGAGAGAGGCACGGCTGGTCAACGAAGAGGAAAACGAGGTGGGTGAGGGTGCGAGGATCTAATCATGGTGGCGAAAATGGTGATGGTGTGAGGCGGAGATGAAGGCGCAAATGGTGATGGTGTTCGGCTAGATCTAGTGTGGTGGCTTAGGTTGTTGGTTTTCTGAGGTTGGAGAAGGAAAGGAAAATGGTCGTGATGTGTGGCAGAGATGAAGGCAGGTAAAGGAAGGAATATGAGTGGTTTCGCCGGCAACAATGGCGACGGCGGCGACGGTTTGGGCCATGAAACAGTGGGAAGGGGAGAAACAATAATGGGTAGATTTCGACGAGTTTCACGGCAGAGGTTGGTGTGAAATTGTATTTGTAAGTAATTTGGGGTGTGAAAATAGTAGTCGGTGTTGGATTACGAAAAGTTTGGCCAGATCTGGTTGTGTCGTGGCCAGATCTGGTTGTGTGGTGGCTTAGGTTGTTGTTTCTGTGGAGGTTGGAGGAGGAAAGAAAAATAGTGATGGTGTGCAACGGAGATGAAAACGGGTGAGGGAGAAAGTATATGTGATTTCGCCGGCAAAAATGGCACGACGCCGGCGATGGCTTTCTTTTGATCGTGAAATAGGGAGAATTAGAAATGCCAATAATAAATTAAAATGTTATTATTTTACATTTTATTAAATAATTTTGGTTAATAATTTTTAAAAATAGTTATGAAATAATTATGATGTGGCATTAATATATCTGACGTGGATATGACATTTCAATTATATAAAGGAGAGTGAGCTACACACATGGTTGGAGGGGATTAAAAGTCTCATTTTAATTGACTTTAAGGGTCCAGATGACAAAGGTGTAAGTAGAAGGGTTCAGAATACAAACTGATACAAGTATAAGGATCCACCAGACCATTTCGCCTTTTTCTTAATACTATAATAACAATGACTATTCACAAGTACACCAGTGAAAATATAGCTCAAACTTGAATTCAGTTCTAATTGGCCATACACTGTCCTATGAACCAGTCATTTACCCCCACCCCCCGAATTTATTGAACGTTTACTCCTTGAGAGCTATGCCAAGAAGGGTTCTCTCAGTGTCTTAGGATTAGGTGTGTGGAACCTTATGAAGAATGCGACTACAACTCCAATTAAAGCAGAAATCCCTGGAATGAAACCTAGAGAAAATCGTGTAACGGAGAAACAAGGATATGTTAGATCACAGGGAACAGGATCTGCACCTGCATTATTCAGAACAAACCTCAAGTTAATTTATCGTTAACCTGAATCAAACTTGACATACATTCGAAAAAGACTATTTAAGTTTAACAAAGAAGAACAATGTCTTCCAGAATATGTTATGACAACATTTTTCCTTTGTTGATAGCAAATCATTGAGCAAAATTTGGAAAGGGAAATATTTTTACAAGGATTTTGATACGTTATCACTTTCAATGATCAATGAACTTATAATGCTTAAGTTATTAGGTAAGTTATGCAAATTAGTATAGATTCTCTACAGCATAATCAAAGAAAGAATTCAAGAAATGACAGAAGGAAAATGCATAATACATAAATATATCATTTAACTTGACATCGCTTGCATCTATGCCTTCCAATTTTGGGTGTGCATAAGTAGACACTTAAACTTGTATAAAGTTGAATAACTAGATGCACGTGCCCTACATGTAGGACGCCACGTAAGATGTAAATTGTCACATTGGACAACAAGTAGGACATATGTATCTACTTGATCAACTCTATACAAGTTTACATATCTACTTGTACATATTCAAAGTTGGAGTGTATATATATAGATGTTAGATGATGCCAAGTTAAAGAGACGTTTATATATTATGCCTAAGAAAACTGTTGTTTTTAAGACGTGCACGGAGAGAGGGGAACCAGATGCTTACTCTCATAAGACTCAAGAAAGTACAAAAACACTCCACATAAAACTTTGTCAATAAAGCCCAATGATCCATAAACAAAAGCAGATCCATCAAGATCTTCATCAACTAGCTCGCTTTCCATTCCTATTGCTGTTACCTATTATCAAAATGAAAAACTTCTATCATATAGCAACACACATATATGACATATGAACCGGTTTGCTTATCAACTCATAGTTACTTTGCAGCAACAAGCGATGAACGCACTGATGTCTGATACTCTGCAATTGATTCACGACCAGTTTCATTTTTCTAGGAACTTAAATAAAGCATATAAAAGTCTGTTTACTAATACAATTGCTCCTTTATTGTCTATTTTCTAGTTTCATTAAAAGAAAAAGAGATTCAGAATGATACATCACAATTATGAAATGTGTGATTAATTGCCTAAACCAAGCTGGATAATTGTTGATAGAAATTATACCAACAGGTTTTTGTTTGCAATCTAAGCATGTGATATTTTAACATACAATAAACAGGTAACAACAGAACTATCCATACCGACTAATCAATCTAGAAAAAAAAAAACCTCACTTACCATCATCAACGCGTTTGCTATGCCAATAAGTATGGACAAGACATACATAAAAGCATGCATGTTTATTGGGAGGAAAATTATTGCAGTGCCACAAAATAGGCAAAGGAGACCCCCAGCGGAAAAGAAGGCCTTCAACCGTTCACCACTCCATTTGAGCTCCTACAAGCAAATAGCAATCAAATAGTTTATGCATGAACAGAAAAAGTGAGTCTGGGAAAGAACATATGAACTGAATGGTGAAGAGAACCTGCAGGAGGACAGACGCAACGAAGCTTGATAAGTAGATGATGGCAGGAATCTATTCACATGAATAAGATTGATTAGTTAGAATAAATTGAATTTTTTTCTTCAAAAGAAGAGCACCTTATTTAAATTTGATGGTAAGGCCCATACCTAGGCTTTTGAAGATGGGCTCATCCGTAGATCATTGATAACGTAAACAGCTAAGAAGGTCTGAACCTAAAAAAGAAAAAAAATACACATACTAAAAATTAGGTTACCCAAGCAATGCAATACTGTGTATTTGAGAGTTGAAAACTAAAAAAAAAACAAAAGATGAGGTTCATACTGACCTGAGAGACATTAGTCACAGCTCGAGTTAACACATAGATGCTAAGTACTTGGTAATATAGGACTTTCTTCAACCAGTATGTCCACGAAGCTGTAGCACGTTTCCCATTAGATTCTTGTTTTAAACTGCACAAAATACTACAACATTAACTGTCTGCTAAAGCAATAACGAGTTAATAGTGAGATAAATTAAACACAAACATATAATACTACCAAATGGGATTGGAAAAATGTAGCAAACCTCGGTTCTTTAGTTCCAAGCTGAAATATAATCACGAAGACTGCTCCAATGAAAATCGAAATATAAACCATCAATTGGTACTGCATGTATTATTTCTTTAGTCAAAATTTAATCCAATTGTAAAAACTTGAAAAAATAGATGAGCATTTGATTAAAATTAAGTACCTGATTCTTAATGTCAACCTGTGAACTAGAAGTTTCCTTATTGAAGACGAAAAATACGATCACATATAAGATTAGGCTTGCAATCTTGACCAATATTTTTCAGGGAAATGGTAAAAGAGGGAAAAAGGGATTAGTATACCAAGTATCACATAGAAAATATCGGTATCAGTAAATGAAACTGATCGTATAGAAAATATCCAACCATTGTAAAAGCATTGCGACAGCTAACACAGGCTACTCTGCTTTCTGGGTTTAGTGTGACTCCATTCACCATTGACCTGCAATAAACATTTAGCCATGAGTCCTTGTCCTGGATTTTTTCGCACAGATAAAAGTGGACATATCAAGTAATAGAGATAAGAGTATGTGCGTCACTGCGTGACAGAATACAAAAGTTTTTCTTATTTTCTAGCTCATGATAAAAAAAAGAGAAGGAAAAATAACCCCATAGAAAGCTCTTGAAGATCGAAATGATAGTTAAAGTTTTTAGTTCTAGTCTTAGAAACATATAGTTAGAAAGAGAGGCAAATGGATGAGATATCATATAGCATTCCGCACTACGCCAGCCATTTGTACAACAAAGATTGTAACACGTTGAAGTGGATAAGCTGAGGAGATTACATGTGTGATATCTGAGTGCAAGACCATCCACTGCAGAAAATCACTGCAGATATGCAGTAACCAGCGGTTTGAACGACAGGTGAATCAGACCCAAGAATTTTGCAAGGGAGGCAACCACCGAAGAGTGATGTAAACGATAGAGCAACTAACAGGCATCCCATGACATGCCATATTTTGAAATGACCAAACCTGTCTATCTGCAGCATAAAAGGAAAGTAAAAAGGCTGCAGGGTTAAATGCTCACTACTAAAATATCACTATTTTCCCGCTGAAGTTTTCCATTGAAAAATGATCCGGGGCTATTTCCACAAATATTTTGATTGAATCGGTAAGGAAAGACAAAATGTTAATATTTTCATACTGAAAAATTAGGAAGTTTCCCACTATTTCTGTGAAAATCTATTTTCCACTATGCATTTTAACAATGAGCTGGTTCGGTGAGAAATCAGTCGGAAAATTATGTTATATAGCACAAATTTCTCACTTACCCCAACTTATTTTTCTTGATCAGTAAAAGAAAATGAACTAGCTATAGATCAAATGAGAAAAATATGTTCTGTATAATTAATTAAGTACATAAGTGACTTCCAAAATGGTGGGCTATAATACTGTTGAGCAGGTTAGAAACAGATAATGTACTTATGTGCAGTTCTGCACTAACATGAACAAGCTAAGTTTAACTAATTCTAGCACGGGATGTTAAGCTTAACACGATGTTTCCATAAGACATAGACATAAAAGGCAGTAGTTATTCTTCATGAATAGATGTAGCACATACCGCAAAGATATATAAGAATAATTCTGTATGTATAGGAAACATGGAAAATCAAATGGAATATATATACCAGTTCACCAGCTATTATGGTCATAAATGCATCAGCAAACTGACCAGTAAGTGTGACTGTTGCAGCATTGCTGTGAATTAAAGAGGCTTAATTAACAGATGAATCTCAAAAAATAGGGGAGGAAAGACACATATTGAGTGAGTTAACAAATAAAGTAGGAATCTTGGGGACAATCCAATATCTGTCAAGTAGAGCAAGAGATATGTATACCAACAGGAAGATGTTATATCATTCAGCATGTGTCCCACACCATAAGTAAACACAGAACATCTTCCTAGGGATTTTGGTTCATCATCAACCATTTCATTCACCATCATGTCCTACTTATTTGATGCCTGCATGCACCAAACATTACATGTCACTTCATCACGAATTTTAATTCAACAAGTTTGGTTTACAATATAAACATATATGACTTTTACTTGGCCAAACAATAGATTGTGTTTGCACTAAAGTGTTTATTGAGTAACATGCATAAATTTAATGAAGTTGTGTATTCTTCTAGTAAATTATCGCATTTATTTTGGGGAAAGATTGCACTTGTTCTTTCCCTTTTATGCATTATTATGTTTTCAAGTAAAGAGTGATCATTCATTGCTTCATATACTCCTCTTTACACTTTTATTTGTCATGTTGCGCTTTTCGAAAGTCAATTTGACTAATTTTCAAAGTTAAATTAGATTACATTAATTTGATATTTTAAACAAAAACTTTAGATATTCAAAAACTATACCAAGAGCACTATAAATTGATACATCATAAAATGTTGGTCAAAGTTTTTATTGTTTGACTTTAAAAAAGGAAACTATGACAAATAAAAGTGGACGGAGATAGTATTAAACAAGAAATGATGTATCACCTAATATATCTGATATACTCCATCTGTTCCTAATTACTTGTCCACTTTTTCTTTTATAGTTGTCCCTAATTACTTGTCCATTTTGACAAATCAAGAAATGACAAAAAAAATTGTATATATTATACCCTCAATCAATTACTTTGAAAAAGGTAAAACTTTTTGAAAATCTTAAATTTTTAATTCATCCACTTCATAATTAATATGTGTAAAATGGTAAACTCACTATGTAAATGATTATTTTCTTAATAGGTGTATCAATTCAAAAATGGACAAGTAATTAGGGACAGACAAGTATTAATTAAAAAAAAAAGACTTTGGAAAAGAAATTGACATTTATAACATTATTATAATTTAAATGTCTCCAACTACTTCACTCATATGGAAAATAACAAAGTGGAGATTCAATAAAATAAAAAAAAGGGATGTCAGTGGTCCTCCTTCGATTGTATCTATTCAACACATGTTCCAGAGAATTAGTACCACAACATTTATTTGTATTTTGTCATCAAGTATCTCGTTATATACTATATGAATTGAATTACTATTTTAAAACATAAATTTCACTTAAAGAAAAAATTGAAGATATTGTGTTTAGAATTTCAGGTTGGTATGATGAAAAAAAAAACTATTGAGATTAAAAAGTATTCAAAATTTCCAATTTATCCACCACAAAAAAGATTCATATAGAAAACAAATCATCTTGATATTTCAAGTCTTTTGATATATAATTCACTCAAAAAGATTGACACTTCCAATACGTCAAATTTTATTTTATTTTTTTAGAAAATGGTCAAATGTCACCCCCCCCCCCCCAATCTATTATCGGATTCCCAAACTACACACTTAAACTTTACGGGAGTCCTATCACCCCTCCAAACTATTTAAAACTGAAATTATCATTTCTCTAAACAGTTATGTGGCAAAGTGAGTGTATTTCACTCTCCTTGAGAGAGTGGGCACCAAAATCAAATAGTAAACTTTTATTTTTAGTATTTCTTTTCAGAAATACTTGTATTTATAATTATTCTTTTTTCTTTATTTGTTTCTTTCTTCTTCATTACAACACAGATCAAATTCCACCACTCACCATCTCTAAATCGCCACCGCCACTATTTTTTTCATCATCACCGTCACTACCATCTCTACATAATTGACAATGAAATTTTAGTATTCTTCTTGATTCTTGAATTTTTGTTTTTCAATTTGTGCATGAAATTAGAAAATTTTGAAAATAAATTCCTTATTGATATTATTGAACTTTTTAATCATCACTTTACATGCCAACCCACAAGGTCGATTGGGTTGGAAATTCATATCTTGATTATTCGGTGCCTCAATTTGGTAAGGAAATTTTATTTCAAATCCAGAAAGAATTTTGGGCTTTCCACGAAACCCACATGTGATTTTGTGAATGAAATTGGAACGATCAATGTCGCATTGTTATGTATACATAGCCTCAATTTGAGCAATTTAACAGATACATCCATAAAAATTATCTAGTATCAATCAAATAGTGTATGAAACATATATAAATCAAAAAATTTGTGGGCCTTTTCCTCGTCAAAACTGTCATTGCTACCGTCTGTTGACAATAGCAGCTAGCTGGATTATTTTGTGATGAGATGGTGTGACACTTATTTTTAAATGAGTTCAGATCTAATGATTTCGAAAGATAGTTAGAAATTTTCTTTTGCTATCATAAGTCGTCAAATTGTTTAGAATTCCGCCAAAAAGATATAAACTAATTTATGGAAAATTGTAAAGAAAGAAAAGAAGCATTAATAATTGAGGTTTTTTGATATGTCAAAAGATTTAGGACTTGATAATGTTGGTGGTAGGAAGTGGGTGGTGCCATAGGTTGATTGGTGGAGCTTTCTGTTTGCAGTGAAGGAAAAAAATGGTGAAAAGACTTTTGATGTTGGAAAGAAAGATGAAAATATAGGGGGAAAAGGTAAAGAATAGAGTAATAGTTTTTTAAGAAATCCACGTGTCAAACGCGTGAGTTTAACCATTCAATATAAATGTGGTTGTTGCTTTTTAAGGGTGTAATAATTTTAGTTTTAAACAATTTAAGGGGATAATAAAATACACGTAAAGTTAAAGTGTATAATTGAAAATTTGATAATAAATTGAAGGGGCATTGGACTAGTTTCTCTTATTTTTTTTTTTATAAAGGAAGAAGAAAGAAGCAGCATCTACAACTGCAATTAGGACATTTTATGTATTTTTTTCCTATTCTGAGTAAGCATTGATCATAGAAGTGATTAGGACAAACATATAATATTTTATGTGCGATATTATGTTTTTTTATCATATTCTATGTGCGAAATTATGTTTTTATATAAGTTCTATTTCATATCATACATTTTTTTTATATTTGTGTTTTAAATTACTGATATATAATATTATGTAATGAAGAAAAATAATACAATTTTACTAAAAATTATAATCATAATTAAAACAATACAATATGATAAATTACAAAACGATAGATAACACTCATCTTCTCTCGTACTTTAATGTATAGAAGTATTAAAACACAAAAGTTTTATTGAATACAAAACACAAATACATAATTTAGAAAATTACAACCCCAAAAGTATTTAATTAGCCTAGTGTCATAGACGACACAATATACCTTATAATTAATGCTTCTTCTTATTAAGCTTTTGGTAGAGCAATATTAATATTGTCATTAATACAATAGTTCCCATTGCAGCTTCTCATGCAACTTCCACACTTCTCATTATCTGCAAAATTAACATAAAATAATAAAAAGAATTAGTACTTATCATTTATGATAAAGAAAATAAAGCTTAAAAACATTTAACAGAATCCAATTAAGTTAACTGTGTAAAATATGTCTTTTCATTAATCTATACACATTTGTCTTAATAAACCGTAAAACTCCAGACATTTTCTACTATAAGTTGATGTGTATAATTAAAGATTAATATGTCATAATTAAGCCGGCTAAGATCATATATGACCCCTCCATGATATCTATTTTTGGTAGGATTAGATTAACTCATCTCAATGATCATATACAAAATTTGGGATGTCAAACTCAAATTGTAACTTTTTGCATATCAGTACGAAAAAAAGGTACCATAGTTGATGAGAAACTTGAAGCAATGACCAAGAGAACATCCAACGTTACAAACACGATTTGCAGCCTCAGTATCAACTGATTCATATGTGATTGTAGTTATAGCGCACTTGACAAGGCACAAAGATAGGCATAGCGGCCTTTTTTGGCACCTTAGTACACAAAATGCTGCACATTTTGGGTCAATGTTTTGGGCCATGGCATTATGCTTTGTCAACACAAACATGGCAAGGAACAACAACAACATAACTTTCAATACCATTGAGAGATTAGGGTTAATTAATAGTGAGTTATATATATGACCTTGTTATTTTGGTTCATGTGAAAATAAGGTGAACTATTTATAGAGGAAATTAAACATATAGATTGTATCTAGATCTAGATAATTAGATGTGCATCTTTATGTTGTCACACCCCTTTTCGCACACGCGGTGGAAGAATTTTTTCAATTTAAGTGACGGTATTGATTAAGGATTATTTTTATTTTTTCAGAGTCGCCACTTGGAATTGAGTTATGGTGTTGCAAGTCAACTTTTTATTTAATCCCTAATCAAAAGGAAATGACTCTTTATTTGGTCTACGAACCAAAAATTCGGGTAAGGAATTTTGTTGACCGAGGGGAAGGTATTAAGCATCCCTCGAGTCCCGTGGTTCTAGCACGGTCGCTTTTATTAACTTTCACTTATTTTAACTATCTTTTGGATATATTTTTTGTAGGCCATGATTTTTGCTCACATTTTTTATTCGTTGAATTTTTTATTTGGTCTTGACCTAGATACATAATTGCATTCTTGGTCTTCACAATTAGAGACATAACTGTCTTATTTGCATCATACCTAATAACCTTATTTTGTATAAGTCTCTACTTTAAATTAATAAAGTTAATTATATTTTAGACAAAGTGTGTCACCACATCCTTGAGTTTCTTTTGATTGTCTCAAAAAAAGATGCGCAACCACATTCTTAATCGAGACAAATATTTTTAGTGTGTCTAAAAATTCGTCTAATCATAAAAAAAACTAATATTTTGTCCCTTATAAATAAAACCAAATAAAGTAAAATAAATAAATGTTTTGAGGATACAATATATAATTCTGACATCATTTCTATATCTTTTATTTTATATTTTTATTACTCTTAAACTTAACGCCAAAATTAAGCATACACTTTTCAATCCAACAAAATAATAATGAATTGCCAAAATAATTCTTATTTTTGTTTGACAAAATAAAAATGACAATAATTTCTTTGAGCCTAAAATCCCTACTTTATTATTATTGACATATAAAATAAACAAATGAAAATAATCACCAATTAAAGTTATCTCCACTCATCAAATAAGATAC